TACTCATCTTTTCCAGTTCCTCACTTATTTTAAAATCATCTATTCTAGTCTCTTTTACTTTACAGTTGGGCAGATTGAGACCCAGGCATCTTTGGTGGCTCAGCAATAAAGAATCCATCTGGAATTCAGGAGACAAGGGTTCGATCCTTGGGTCAGGAAGATCCCCTGGAGAAGGAAATGGCAACCCACTCCAGTATTCTTGCCTGGAGAATCCCATGGACAGAGGAGCCTGGTGGCCTTCAGTTCATGGGGTCACAAAAACTAAACAATAAAGACTGAGACCGAGGGAGAACCCACCCATTTGTCAATAGCCAGACCAAGGCTCTGGGCTCCCGCTTGGAGCTCTTTCTGCCACTTGGTGCCTGCTCTGACCTGTTCCTCCTGGCAGCCCCATTTCATTCCTTTTCTCCTTTGCCTGTCATTTGCAGAGCTTTGAGCCCTCCTGCTCCAAGGAGGGAGGGGACTCATCAGCCCTTCTGATGGCTCCCCTGTCAGCACTGCAGGGTCCCCGGAGTGTCTCCTGCTGTCACCTCCTGCCCTAGACAGGTTTAGGTTCTGGGCCGGAGGTGGTTGGAAGGCCCACTGGGGATGAGAGGGATCCAGGGAGAGGGAAGTTGACAGAAGTTCCCGGGCAGAATAATAACAATGTGCCACATTCCAGCCGCAGCCCCTGCTGCGCCTCCCCCATCACTTTGCACAGACCGGCTGCCTAAGGGGCCTCCAGGGTCTGAGCCCCCACTTGCAGGGACTGCTGTGTGCAGGCGGGTGCACATCAGTGTCTGTGTAATTAAAAATGAGCATGCCTGACTTCACCCAGTGAAGAGATGCCACCACCTCGGGTGGGATGCAACAGCTGTTTGCTGGCTGTGTGGCTGCCCAGCTGTCCAGACCGGCGTGGAGAGGCAAGTCGGACTGGGCCGCTCAGAGTGAACAGGAAGACCCAGGGCCCCTCACCCCTGTGAGACGGGAGGTAGAGGGCTGTGATGGGGTGGAGGCGGACAGAGCAGCCCTCCTTCCTTTCTGGGCCTAGGGCTCCTCTAGCAGATGTATGACCCATGGCTGTGTCCTTTTGGGGATCTGAGGCTGCTTAGCTCTGAGCAGACCCAGGCTCTGGGCATCCAGGTTTGGGACCCATCCTGTCTCCCCGGCTCCTGGCCTGACCTTTTCTGCATCCCTCCCCACCCCTAGCCCAGGCCAGGGCACAGGTTGATGGTCTGAGATGAGAACACAAATGAGGGTGATCCCAGTCCTCTCTCTTTCCTCCCTCCTCCCCTCCCCTCAGTAAGAGCTTTCAGGGAGGTGGTGTGGGTCCTGGGGGGAAGCCTTGGCTTGGCATGCCGGTCTTATTCTTTTGCAGGATCCCTGAGCTGTACCCACCCAGGTTGTGGGCTCAGCCTGAGGTGAGGAGGGAGTCTGTGGAGTGTTCCTAAGATGGCTGAGACAGTGGCCCCACAGTAACCTTTGCACGCTGCTCCTTCCCCTGTCAACCGGCCTTCCCTGGGGCTGTGATGTCAGTGCAGGCAAGGAGTGGGGAGTGTTGATGCCCGAGGTCTCCTGGAAATCCCTGCATTATGGGTGCTGTCCCAAGTCCCCCTCCAGTTTCTGTTTGTGGGAGGCCCGGGTGGGAGGGAGGCCTCATAGATGTGTCTGAGGGACTGGAATGCTAAATCCAGCCTCTAGCCATTCCCGGTGGCACCTTGGCATGAATAGTTGACTTCTTCCTGTTAGGTGAGGAGAATTGTAGACACCTCAGTCTCTCCCACCTGGGAGCAAGGCTTTATGATCCCCTTGAGCCTGTGTGTGGGAGCGAGTTGCCCTGGGTAGTGGCCTCATTACATAACCAGTGGCTTCAGGGGCCAGAGCAGGTTCCCCTGTCCTGGCAAGGCTTTCTCAAGCCTTTGACTATCTGGGCTGTGGGAGCGGGTGTGCCCGGGGCTGGGAAGAGTCCAGGCCCATCCAAGCCCCTCCCTCTAGCAGCACCAGCCCAGGATGGCATTGGCCTCGTGTCCTTGGCAGTCAGCTCTCCAAGGGCTCCCTGGTGGGGCCGGCTGATGGAGAGGCAGCTGGCCTTGCCTTCCTCTGATGATTTTCCAGTGTTCACCAGGTCATCACTATGCTGCTGGTGCAGCAAGGACCTGAGAGCTGGCCCCTGGCTCTCCTCTCATCCCTCAGAAGCTGTCCCTGTCTGGGCGGGAAAGGGCTTGTTTTCTCTGCCTGATCACTTAGGGACAGGGCATATGGCCTGTCCTGCCCGTACCCTCCATCCCGGACTCATTGGTCAGTGGGCAGAGCTTGGAAAGGGGCCTCAGCGAGAGGCCACTGGGCAGTTAGAAGCCCTCCACCTGCTTCTGGGCCTGGGCTGGAAGTTTGTGCCTTTGCCTTCTTCCTGCCCCTTCTCTGCTCTGATCCTGAATTTTGACAGGATCCGGCATGTGTTAAAATGATTTAAGGCTGAGCTGTCAGTGAGATTTTAATTAGCTCCATTCCTCTCTCCAGCAGGGAGGGCCAGGGTCCCCCCACCTCCAGGTGGCAGGGGTAGGAATGGGCTGGGTGTGGTATGAGGCTGCCCCTCCAGGGGCCTGGGGACAGGCTTGGGCAGCTGGCAGTCTTGTGTGGGATGCTGTGAGGAGGGAACACTGGGCAGGGAAGGAAGGGCCGGCTAGCCCCAGGCCAGTTTTCTCTCCCTCCTCTGTCTCCCCTGTTCCCTCTGTTCTCCCGGATGGCTTTGAGATGAAGGCGACGGCAAGGATGGAGGATGCAGTTTCCATGGCAACAGGGCTGTCCACAGCCAGGCAACTTCAGAGCCAGGCTCTCCGGAGGAGGCAGATGCGCAGAACAGCCACAGAGCTGCCTCCCGCCTGTCAATGAGGGGGCTGGCAGAGCAGGTGGCAAGGGTGGCTGCTTGGTGCTACCCCCCCCCCCCATGCCTAGTCTCAAGGAGAGGGCGGAGGGGCACTGATCCCTCTCATCATCCCTGTCACTTCCAGAAGGAAAGCTCAGCAGGTGGCTTGAGTGTTTGCGAGGGCTGTCCCTAGGATTTCTGGGTGCCCACAGCCTCAGTTCCTGCAAGCATCCCCCAAAGCCAGCTGTCTCCAGCCCATGAGACTTGGGCCTCTAGGTAGTCTGCTGCTCTGATGGCCACTTGGCAGCTTCCTTTTGGACCCTTTGAATGCCCAGAGCATGGCATGTTGGTGAAGGCCATGTCCTGACTGGGTTTGGGGGGCCCTTTTTTTCCTTTAGCTCCCAGGGCATGACCTGGACCTTCTCCAGGGAGCCTCCCTGACCCTGGCCTTGGTGACGTGACCCAGTACACTGAGGGGTTCAGGTTTGGCACGTACTCACCCCTAAGTACTGGCATTAGAGGGGCCCCAGAGCCTGGTAGCTCCTTATTCCTGATGCTGTGTTCTTTTTCACCCTCCTCCTGAAGACCAGGGCTGAGGCAGCTGTGTGGGTGGGTAGAAAAGCAGAGATAGCCACTCGTGTGTTTGGAGATGGGAAGAGCTTGGGCCATGGACTTGTGAGATGACCCAAAGAACACTCAGGTTAGCAAAAAGATCAGACCCAAACTGTTAAAAATAATGACTTACTTTCACTGCTCTTGTACGCGTCAGCGCCAGGGTAGCCTACTCTGTTGGAGCGCACAGAGACTTGGGATGAAAGGCCTTGTCCGGGTCTTCCGTGGAGTCACAGGCTGAGCTCGAGCTAGACCCTGGGCCAGGACATCCACCCCCACACGGCCTCCAGCCAGCTGCCAAGGGCCCTGGCTGGATAAACCTTCATTCCTTCTCTCTCCCCGGGGCTCATTTTTACCTGTTTCCACTTGCTTCAATTGAAGGGGGTTCCTCAAGCCTCAGCTTGGCCAGGCAGGCTGACAAGTGGAGTCCTGGAGAGGCTTCTCCCCACCAGGCAGTAAGTCTCTCATTACCGCTAAGTGGAAGGCTCATTTCAGAGCTCATGGTGAGAGCCGGCCGGGTGCTATAAATAGCTGTGTTGTGAAGGTTGGCGGGTGAGCAGTGACAGGGCAGGGGCCTGGCCGTCATCTCAGTGGGTAATTGAGCTCTGTTGCAGGGAGGGGGGCAGCTGAGGAGCAGGGTGCACTGACCCCTGTTCTGGTTTGTCTGCCTGTGTCAGGGCATCTCTCTCATGCGTCCACGCCACTTCCACATGCGCTGGGGGCTGCGGAGCCCTGGGTTCCGTGTCCAGACAGAAGGGAGTGGACTGCCTGTCTCCACTTAGGGCCTATAAGCTGGTGTTTCAGCCCAATGGGGTGTCATGGAGTGTCCAGTGTTAGATCTGCTTGTCCTGTCTGTCCCTCTAGCCTAGGGTCTGCCACCTCCGCTGAAATTCTGGACCCAGGTCTGAGAAAGGGTGGGAACCAGCCATGTCTGATAGTCTCAGAAGTTGGGATAGACCTAAAGAGGCAGGGAGACGGGAGTAGGAGAGGGGTTTAGCTGGCCTGGAGCCCCTATCCAGGCTTTGTCAGGAACATACCTGCAAGGGCAAGGACTAGAGACCTGAGAGTCAGGCCCTGGCCTCCTCTAACATTGGTGGATAAGACAGCCTTGTCCAGGGCAGAGAGGAGGTCAGGTCCAGGGATGGCAAGTCTGGCAGGTAAGACCTTGGCTTAGGTGCCTGGGGCCACAGATTTTGGGGCCCCATCCTAGGGAAGTCTGGGGTGCTCAGCTTCAAGGCTCTGTGAGACAGTGCTTTCTGGAACAGCCTTTGGTACCAGGATTAGCAGTGCCAGGCTCTTGGGTTCTTTCAGCACCTGTCTAGGACTCCCAGGTCGTTAGAGCACTGCCCCCTGGGGTGTGGCCCCCTGTCCACAGGATGCTGTGTGGGTGCCTCCCTCAGAAAGATTTGGAACTTGGGGGAGATTGGGGCAGGAGGAGCCAGCCCCCTGGGAGGGAGTAAACAGTGAACAGTTTCTGGGGCCACTTGGGGGTGCATGGGTCAGAGGCCCTGGAGGGCTCATTCTGCCTTTCGTGCTCTCCAACAAGGGGCGGAAGTTGTGTGCCCACCCACGGCTGGAGATCTACCAGCAAGACCAGATCTATTTCATGTGCCCCCTGGCACGGCAGGGAGACTTCTATGTGCCTGAGGTGAAGGAGACAGAGCGGAAGAGCCGGGGGCCTGCAGAGGTCAGCGACGCCCCGGTGGATGACACAGGTACAGGGTCGGGGGTGAGGGTGGGGTCTCGCCTGGAGCCCCCCTCCCGGACATGTGGGCCTGGTGAAGGAGTCTCCGCCCTGGCACTGTCAGTGTCCAGACCTTGGCTTGACAGAAGTGGAAGAAGGGACCCACCTCCCCACGTGCAGAGCTGCCTGTCCCTAGACACAGGGATCCATGTAGGCGTGGCTTCACACACGTTACCCTGGCAATGCAGATAGAGATCCTGCCCAGGATTCCCTTCACCTTCAGATGCAGCAGAGGTACCCTTGGAAGCTCAGATCACAGACAGCTGGATGCTCATGGTGGGGTGGGGGTAATTGCTGAGGCTGCTCAGGAAGGGCATTGCTTGGGTCGGGCTCATTAGAAGTGAGATGACAACTGGATCTGGAAGGTAAGGAGGGGAACACGGTGTCCCTCTGGTCTGGGCCCTGACCAGAGCCAGCTGCTCTCTCCCTTTCAAAGAGGAGCTTGAGAGCATGCAGAGGGGAGACAGGAGGTAAGTACCCTGCCCCTTCCATCAGAGCGAGCCTTCCTACCCCAGGACCAGGCCACCAAATTGCTTGCGTGCTCTCAGCCTACCCCTGGGCTGTCCCCAGGAGGCCAGGGGACCTGCTGGTAACATCCCAAGTGGTCTAGAGGGTCTCAGCCTCGGCCATGCTGGAGGAGCCTTATGGGAATCTGGCGGTCCATGACCTGTGGGAGTGGCATAGGACCAGGAGGAGGGTGACTGTCTTCTTCACCTCCTGCTTTAGGAGGCTCCCTCTGTCCATCCAGTCTTCAACAGCCAAGGTCACCCTGAGAGACATGTGTTGGCAGGAGCGGGGGGCGGGTATCGGGAGGCAGTCTTCACTCCCTAGGGGCCATGTCCAACACAGTTAACTTCATCTGCCACTTAATTACCTCCGTGGGGCACTGCTCCCACCCGCCTGGTAGCGCCTGGCAGTCACTCTTCAGCGCCCCTACTGTGGGCCCAGGACGTGGCACAAGGTCAGCAGACCCTGGCAGTCCCCAGGGCAGGAAGGGGGGCACCCTGACCTTCCTTCAACCTCCCTCTGCTGCCCGCACCCGCCTCCTTGGCCCACCCACCCAGCTCCCCTTCCAAACACTGCCTGCCAGGGGTGTTGAAGGACTACTTGGCACTCGCTCCAGCTGGCTGCAGCCTCGCTCCCACGCCCCCAACTTCTCGACCTGTCCTCCCTACCAGCCTGCCTGCCCGCTCCCTGGAGTTGGGGGCCAGAGGGTCTGCCCACCTCTGACAGGGTCTGCCCTGGCACCTGGGGCGGACTCTGGGTGTCCGCCTGCCAGGGGCATGCCACTTGCTCTGCGGTGTGCGGTGGGTGCCTGGCTGCCCAAGACTTGGCCTGTCCCTTTCCGCCTCCCCGCTGTGGCCCCCGCTTGGGCTCAGAGGTGAAAGGGGTGATTAACTGCCTTCTGCCTGTTATTACACTGATGTATTATTTAGCTCCAGGGAGGCGATGAATATTTGATCTCCTTGCACTGGCTGTGGGCAGTGGAGGAGAGAGGGGCTGAGGTGTGGTGGCAGCTTTGTTCTCTGGCTCAGCAGCCTTGGGGGTTTGGGTGCTGCCCTGCCTGGTCTGGCCTGGCCTGCCCGGAGACACAGGCCCAGGACTTGGACTTGCTTCTGCACAGACCCTGATGGAGCTGGAGGGCTGCCCCTTCCCTGCCTTGCACTCCTTAGTTAGGGTGTCCACACGTGCCCGGGGGCTGTTCTCCCCTGGCAGGCTGGCCTGAAGGGGCAGCCCTGGGCTCCTCTGATCACCCCTAGCGGAGGAGCTGGGAGAGGGAGGAGGCAGGTAGCTGGCAAGTAGGCAGGTCCCCACACCTGAGTCCCTAGAGAGCCGTTGGCTATGTGGGCAGGTTGAACTTAATTGGGCCAGGGAGAAATCATCCCCCTCTTTTGCTCCGCTCAGGCCTGCAGCCTCTGGGGCACCAGTCATTTAAGGAGAGAAAGAGGGACTGCCATCCTGCCCCAGGGCCAGAGATAACCACCCACAACTCAGGGAGCTGTCCTGGCTCACTCTTGAATGCCTCCACCCTAGGAACCAGGACTGAGGCCCCAGCAAGACGAGGGCCCTGGGCTAGCAACCTAGCCATTGCAGGGCTCACCTCACCCCTGCAGTAGGGCCCAGGGTCATCTGGGGGCCGAGGAGGCTTAGGAAGCAGACCCTTTACACATACCCACCCTGATCCCCAGCTGAGGCTCAGTGAAAGTTCCAGGCCAAGTCCAAATGCCAAGCAGTCCCCAGCTGCACCGGGCTTGGGGCTCCATCACCATGGAAACAGGATCTGGGGAAGCTGGCCCATCCCTCACCTGTGATGTTTGACTGCTGCCCCCTCCCTTTCCCACTGGAAGGGAGGCATGTCCACCTTCTGTCGGTCTGGATTCCTACACACAGGGGGCCTGAGCTCTCTGCCTCTCCTTGCCGCCCCCAGCCATTGTTGGTGCCTCTGATCTGAGGAGATGAATTGAGAGGCTGCTCCAGAAGAGGGCAGATGAACCTAGCCTGGAGAATATATTGGGGATGGGTGGACAGGCTAGGATGGATCTCGGGGCCCCCAGCAGGTAGCAGAGTGCTCCCATGGTCCCCTCCTGCTGCTTTGGGGCTCAGGAGCCACTAGGAGTTGGGGATGGGTAAGGGCTCCTCTGGGGTGACCCAGGCATAGAGGAAGAAAGTCCTTAAAATGCTTCATCCCCACACCCTCCTCCACTACAATTGGTTGTTGAGAATTTCTCAGGACTTCTCCATCCCACTCCTGCCCTGGCGTTCTTCTCAAGTTGGGGCTCAGTGTGGGCCAGAGGCAGGGACATGGCTGCCCCTTGGGGAGCCCTGCGTGTGGGGAGGGGCACAGGAGAGCAGGCTTCCTCGTCCCTTCCCCTGTGCTCAGGCCTTCTGGGCAGTGTTCTGGCCTTGGACAAACCCCTCTCTAAGTCTGAAATGGGAAGTGGAGGAGGGGACTCTACTGGAGTCTGTTCTACCCTCAGCTCCTCAGGTCAGGGCCGAAGGGTCTTTAATGGGTTGTTGGGGGCCTGGGGGGCAGCAGGCTTTGTGGGAGTTCAAGGAGCTGAGGCTAATTCAGGGCAGGGAGAGGAGTGTACAGCAGGCTGACCTCCTCCCCCTCCCCCACTACCCCACCCGGCCCCTGTTCCCTCGCTCCGCCCTGTCAGTGGACGCCCAGGCAGGGCAGAGGGCAGAGGGTAGAGGGCAGCAGGAACGAGCCTCCTGGGCCTGGGGCAGCTTGATTATTCATGAGCACACTGTGCAGGCTGAGTCGCTGTTGTTGGTCGGAGAGCCTCAGTCCTCTCCCTGGAGGAGGGGGTGGGGGTCCCAGCTAACCTCAGCCCCCCTCTTCCCGCTCCAGGTGCTGACACGATGAGCGACAGGAGTTCTGTAAGCCTGGAGCTGGGTCCTGGCAGCCGGGAAACTTCAGCGGCCACACTGTCCCCCGGGGTGAGCAGCCGCGGCTGGGACGATGGCGACACCCGCAGCGAGCACAGCTACAGCGAGTCGGGTGCCAGCGGCTCATCTTTCGAGGAGCTTGACCTGGAGGGCGAGGGAGCCCTGGGGGAGCCAAGGCTCAGCCCTGAGACTGAGCCCCTGGGGGCTCCCAAGTGGCCCCGGGCGCCCAGTACCCCAGAGAAGGGCGAGGAGTAGCCGCGGCCTGCACCTCCCTGTGGCACCGCTGCTGAGGAACTGAGCGTCTCTGCAGTCCTCCTCTTCCTCCACCTCCCGGTCTCCGGCCGGGGCCAGGGCTCTTGTGCAGCCCTGACTTCTTCTGCCCCAGGCCTCTGGCCAAGCCTTCTCCTCACTGTCCTCTCGGCCCCCAGAGCCAGAGGACCCAGGACTGTTATCTGCACCCAGCCCCTGGGGCTGCTACCCCTGTTACATCTTTTTCAGATTCACGTTGAGCTTCCAGGACCCAGAATAAAAACAAATGATTTTCTTGGTTTCACCTGGATTTGTGCTGTAGGTTTGTCTGTTCCCCCTTAGAGAGTCCTGTGCAGATAGGCCCGGAGTGGGCAGGAGCACCGCTGGCCTGAGAAGAGGAAGGTACCCTGGTACCTGGGCTGGGCTGGGGTCGGGGAATTGGAGGCCCTTTACCCCTGCTCTGAGTAGCTCTCCTTGACAGCTGCTCCTCCATTGCAGCAGCCCCAGGGGCTCCCCCAGGCTTCAGGAGAGCAGGCCAGGCGGGACAAGGGGTGTGAAAGCTGAACCTCGGGTGTCCTCTGGGGCTCAAGAGTGGGGAGCTTGCCACCCACCTTTGCCTGCCACAGAGGGACGCCTCTGTGTCTGTAGCTCAGGTGCTGACCCTGGTATTTGCCCAGCCGGTGAGGACATCCCTGTTGTGCCTGCCACTGCCTGTGTGCAGGCACACACACACATACTTTTGGTGTTTTATGTGTAACCACGGATGGGTCAGGTGACGGTGGTCCTGGGCGTGGCTGTCTTTGTGTGGATGGTGGTGTGACTGCACATGCTGCTGTGCTCAGCGTCCGACTGTAGTTGTATTACAGGGGAGAGAACCTGGCTGTCTGCAACCGTCACTCTGGGGGCTTGTCCGTATACAGCTATGTGTGTATGTGTATGGGGGTGTGTCCAAGTGGAAAGCTGTGTGTTTCTCTGTCCATATATAAAACTAGTAGGTCTCTGCAGCTGTGTGTCCACATGTAGAGCTGTGTCTGTGTGTACAGTTGTGTGTTTGCGTGTAACGCTGTGTGTGCAGCCGTGTGCACATGTACAGCTCTTCACGTAAGGCTGGGTGTGTAACTGCATGTCCATGTGCTGCAGCAGGACCGTGCGGCTCACTGGCTGCAGGCTACACACTGGGCCACCCGGGCTTGTGCTGTGTTTAAGGCCTGATGTCTTTGGTGTGGCTGCCTTGGTGGGTGGGCTGGGGTTGCTGTGCCATCCCCTCACCTCTGCACCCCGCTGTTGTCAACCCCTCTGCTCCAGGGACCCGGCCCATCACTGACCGACCCCAGGGAGCAGCTGCGCTGAGACAGCCGGAGAGGGTGAGAGCAGCGGGAAGTGAAGACAGCATGTCTATCTCCGAGGCCTTGTCTGACAGCTCTGCACCCTTATCCTGCTGCCACCTCGCCTCCCATTAGCGATGGAGTTTGTGTTTGTTTGGGTTTGATGTGTTGGTCTGTCGCACAGCTGTGCACTTTCCAGAGCAGTGGGGCATTGGGCTTCTGTGTCCAGGGAAAAAGCCTGTCCTTCCTCGGTGAGAATCCCCCAATCCCACATGTAGCTGTGTGTACCAGAGGCACCTGGGTGTGGTGTGTGCTCACAGGCCTGCGTTCGAGCTGGCCTTGCCTCTCCTGACACCCGTGGAGGAAAGGGCAGCACCTGGGGAACACGTGTAGAGAGACCCCGTGCTGCTTGCACATGCTGGTTAGTGTGTGTGCAGAGTGGCTCTGGGGCTACATCTCGGTGCAGCACCCACCCCTTCCCAAATCCTTCAGTATAGTCTGGCGATGCTGATTACCCCCCAGCCCCTACTCAGGGGATCCTTTCTCACTCTGCTGCAGGAGGGAACAAGAGTCAAGAACATCTTCTCAGAGCTGTCCTCCCTCTGTGTGGGCTCCAGCTTCTGCTTCTGCCCTCTCCTACACAGCCACGTTTCAGGAGCCTCTTTCCCAGCCCCCTCCCCTCCCAGATCCCCCTGCTGGCTCCAGCCTGTCCCTCAGGGTTGACCCTAAGTCCCTGGGCCTGCAATCCCCACCCCCCCCCCCAAAGCCTGGTATCTCTTTGCCATTAATACCCTTTACACATGAGAGTTGAGATTCGTGGAGGGGTCGGGGAGGTCAGGGTTGGGGGGAGTGTGGGGAGTATAGTAGCTTTAAAGGTCATCTGCAGGAAGGAAGGAAGGTTCTAGCTTCCTCTGACACTTTCCCCCCTCCCCCGACCCCTTCTTGCTCCATCTCTTCCTTCTAGTGACTCAGGTCCCAGCTCTTAGTCGGGGCTGAAGACATGCCCCCACCCCAGCCCTGGCATGTGGACCGGAATGCAGTATGGGAGTGGGTAGGGAGAAGGGACGTGAGGACAGGGAGGCAACAGGCTAAGCCCTCCCCCTGGCTCCACGTGCCCCATTACCTATCCCCCAGGGGCACCCCACAACCCTAGAGCCAGCCTTCCCGCTCCCACAGATGGAAACCCACAGCACTGTGCGCACCCCACTGGGTGCAGTGACCTTCCCAGCCGCGTGCCTCACGCTCGCTGGCCTTCTGGGACTCAGTCTGACTTGGGGCGGAGGGGACCCGAGGCATCTGCTCTAGCAGAGGGCAGGAGAGCCCGAGGATTCAGCACCACGCGGCGGACAGCGTCGGGTCGGTGCTTCTGAAGAGCAGGGGAGTGTTGCAGGCGTCTGGAGGGAGGTGGAGGCCGTGTTGCGCGCGGGAGATCGGGAGTGGGGAGGGACGGAGGCGGGGTTGGGGGCGGGCCGGGGCCGGGGGCGGGGCGGGCCACGATTGAAATCGGCCGGCCGAGCGGGCGGGCAGAGCGCAGAGCTGCCGAGCCAGCGAGCGAGCGAGTCAGCGGGAGCTGGAACCCCGTGCCCCCGGCTCGCTCCGCTCGGTTTTTCTCCACGCCAGAGCGGGGCGCGCAAGGTAGGGTAAGCTGGGTGCTGCTGCAGCCGCCACCGACCGTATCGATCCTGACCCCGAGTCCTAGGGTCCCTCGAGCCCTCGAGTTCCGGGGCGCCCGGGGCAGGGACTGGCCAGGGCATCCAGACAGCGCTAGTCAGAAGCTCCGGGAAGCGGGAAGGCAGCCCCAGGCGTCCCGCCTTTCTTCCCCAAAGATCGCACGCCCTGCATCTCGCTCCCTCGTTCCTCCTATCCCTCCGTCCTTTGGTCAGTCTTTCCGTCTGTGCCTCTGTCTGTCTCAGCCTTTCAGGCTCCATCTCCCCAAATTTTATGGCCCAGGATTTCAGGCTGCCCTGCTTCCAAGGTTCTCCCTCCCCTTCAAGGTTCTGTCCCTGTTGGACCGTTGGTCCCAGCCACCCCTGTGGGAGGATTGTGGTTGACTCGTTTGGACTCAGCTCCCACTGGGTCTGTGCCCCCGTCTGTGTTGGTCTTCATGCTTACCTCTCTTCCCTGTTTGCCTGCTTGAGCTGCTTCTTTCTGGGGATGCACAGGATCGCAGTTCCCCTGGCCTGGCCCCAGCAGGAAATTAACCCTGGGGTGCTGAGGAGGCCAAGCGAAGAGCCCCTGTCTCTGTGGCCAGGACATGGGGTCCTTGAACTAGTACTGCCCTGCTTCAGGCTCAGTTTCCCTCGCCTAGCCTTCCTGAGCCCATGCGATTGTGAGAGCCTGTGCGGCATGGGTGTCTGGGCGGGCAGCTGGGGCACAAATGATGGGGTGCAGAGTGGAAGAGGGAGGCAGGAGTCTCTGAGGGCCAGGGTGAGCAGGGCCCTGAGGCCAAGGACGGGGAGATTGGAGGTGGTGACTTTCTCTGCTTGGTTGTGAATTGCAGAGAAAACGAAGGCAAAAAGTCTCAAATGGCAGTGGCAACCCACGCCAGTGTTCTTGCCTGGAGAATCCCAGGGACGGGGGAGCCTGGTGGGCTGCCGTCTATGGGGTTGCACAGAGTCGTACACGACTGAAGTGACTTAGAAGCAAGGAGTCCAAAAGTCTCACCCTGAACCCTCTTCTGAGATTTTGACCAGATGGGCTGCCCGCCACCCCTGACATACACACACACTCACATCTACTTTCCCTGTTGACCTTAGGACCTGTGGCCACTTCAGTGTCCCTCCCTGGGGCCAGCCTCTCTACCTCGCTGTCTAACTTTCAAGACCTAGAGTCTCTATTTCCTTCCTCAGTCAGGAGGCGAGGCTGGGAACCTTGGGTACTCATTTGAGCTTCCCTGGAGTTCGAGACTACCATTTAGAGCTTCTTCCTTCCCCTTCCCTCGTGGGTTCTCAGCCCTCAATGGCTCCTCTCTGGAAACCCAAGGATGGGGACTGGACCCCCAAGTTTGTAACTGTGACCTTCTGCTGCAAAGATGTTGACTTTGGGGCCCTGGGAGGTTTGTGCAGGGTGTTGGACATTCTTCTGGGTCTTCTGTTTTCTGTTTGGGCCTCTACCCTGTGTAGTTCCTCCACCTTTGCTAAATTTGGGATGAGCACAGAGCCTGTCTTCAACCCCAGATTCAGACAGGGCTGAGGGACAGGCCAAGGGGTATCCCAGGAGCTTCTCATCCTAGTTAAGGGTACCGGCTCTCCCTGGCTCCTCAGTCCCTGGGAAAGAAGTTTGGGGGAAGCAGAGTCAGAAGGGCTAGCCACTCTCAGGTTCCACTTCTCCCTACCTGTTTGTCTGTCTGTCTCTCTCTCTCTGCAGGAGCTGGGTCCCTCCTCATCCCCTTCCTGTCTGTCCTTTCCTGGTCTATTTCCACCTCTCTTTGCTTTTGCTGCTTCTGCCCTCCTTCCCTGGAGGCCCAGGTCTGCCAGACCCATCCATCCCCTCTGGGGCCATGGGATCACTGCTTGGGCTCCTGGCTCTGCTGCTGCTGTGGGGCGCCATGGCTGAAGGCCCAGCCAAGAAGGTGCTGACCCTGGAGGGGGACCTGGTTCTGGGTGGGCTGTTTCCGGTACATCAGAAGGGTGGCCCAGCAGAGGAGTGTGGTCCTGTCAATGAACATCGCGGTATCCAGCGTCTGGAGGCCATGCTTTTTGCGCTGGATCGTATCAACCGTGACCCAAGCCTGCTCCCAGGAGTGCGCCTGGGTGCGCACATACTCGACAGTTGCTCCAAGGACACACATGCTCTGGAGCAGGCACTTGACTTTGTGCGGGCGTCACTCAGCCGGGGCGCCGACGGCTCACGCCACGTTTGCCCTGACGGCTCTTATGCCACTCATGGCGATGCTCCCACTGCCATCACTGGTGTCATCGGCGGCTCCTACAGCGACGTCTCCATCCAGGTACACGGGGGCTGTGGAAATGGAGGCTGG